CTCATATGCCTGATCTGATAGATAATTTTGAGTTTTCAACACTCTTTTATAAATTTGAAGAAGGGATATTAATAAGTTACTCTCTTTACAAATGTACTGATTTCCGCTTATACCTAAGCTAGTCTCAGATAATATATGGCCCAAGTACACTAAGCATAGATTTATCAAATAAAAAACTTATCACATGCCCATCACATTGCCTATAACTCCTACAATCTTTATCTATTCTAGAAATTTGGTTGAATATTGTATTTAAAAATGTCGTTATAGCCAGAGTCAAGTATATTCGTTATATCTCCTTCGATATGTCTTTCCAGGTTTCAAATTAAAGCGAAGTTCAACTTTAATTTGCACTTCTGTGGTGGATTTCATAAATTCAATGTGAGTTCATTGGCACAACAGAACCCAAATTACATTGAAATTACCCAATGCAGTTCTTACCATAGTTTCCCACTAAACACTCAAGTAGATATAGACTTTCATTCACCAGAAAGGTTAAAATTAAGTTGAGTATATACATACAAGTCTTGCACAAATTTCATGATCCCTAATTTATTTAGAATTTACATAAATAGAAAAGTTAATTAACTGAATCCATCTTCAAATTTCATCTAAAGACTTGGATATTTACAACAAACTTTAATTCTAAATAGCCTTCGGTCATCTACAATAATCACCAGACCACGCTTATATTAATGCGATTTAATGCAAGAGGGCTTCATAGTCAAATGAAAATTTGCTAATAATGACCTCTTTGAGATGTTATAATTGCTAGATTCTAAATACGCGTAGGAAAATATCGATCTTTATTGGCACGGAAATAATTCAACCCAGCTGCATGACCACTCAGATAGATAATCCTCTTCTAATGAGGCTTACCTTCACTATGAGTAAAAATATTAAATATATGCAGTCCACTTGAACAGAAAATTGGTCAACGCCATTGCCTTCCCTTGTCACCTCGATAACTTGTAACTCTATTCTGATGATGACGCATCTCACTGACGATGTTAAATACAATACCGGCGAAACGTTTGGTAAGGTACCAAGTCAATGGTCATATGTTGGATATCACGGATACTATGGCAGACGACACAGGACAAGGCACGCTCCACAAAGTCTCTTTGACGCTCCGACAAAGTTGCGAAAGCGAGGCCGAACCAACACTATTAAACTATAGGAGACTGCTACCAAACAGAAGGCCACACCATCTTGGTCATATCTGCATATTGCATTTAGTTTACTATATTTATTCTAAACTACGCACCCTCGCCTAAATTGTTAACTATTGGTAATTGGTATAGCCTGAATGACAACATCCAGTTGTTTCATTAAGCAGTCTGACTCATATCTCGCGTACTTTTATTGTACATTCTCACCTACTATTACAAAGAAACAAACACATTGCACAGACATGCACACATACATAGTCACATGCATAAATAAATACACACATTAGTAGATAAAAACCTACATACTTATAAGTGGGCCTTTAACTTTAGTGCACTTTAAACATATATTTAAACCCAAAATGAGGCTGATCATTCAGCGTTCACATTTCAAGGAGCGGCGGGAGAATGATGAATAGCCCCATGTTTTCCTTGATGTCGGAATATACTAGTTGCTGGCACAGTTAACGGTAGCCCAGACATCCCGCTAGGAGAGGATGTGGTGGGTGTAGCCGATACCATGGGTGAATCCTGATGCTGTTGGCCCAGCACAGGCAGGGAAGCTGGTACTAGAGGGAGAGGCTGCGACAGAGTTACTAGACATGCTGATGCAGATGAGTCAAGAAGTCCATGCCTCAAATGTGATGTACTGGCCGTTACTGTGGAATGACTCGGTGTCGTCGGCGTAAATAATGGCATACTGCTGATTATCTCCGAAGGGATGCTGTGCACCGTCACCATTCCACTCTCGTCTGTTTCCTGCATGGAACCAATCTGCTCCACTTGTCCAAGATGCCCTGATGTCCCCCGAAGAACCGTTATTTCAGTAATTGCCGTCTGGGTAGGCTCAAAGGCCACATCTGGCTCGTGTTCATTTCGCGTATGGAAGACTGAAAGTAGGCCTTCAAATACAGACTCGTAATTATCATCTGAGGATTGAACGTTTTCCAAACTGCTGGTTTCATGAACGCTTGGCAATGTGGTAGATCGTGAATACCCCGTATACAGGCCAGATAGTGACCCAATCTGTGAATTGGAGCCTCTACTGTCCCAAGGCTGATCAAAGCTGAAAAAGCCGAGTTCCCCCAGCCTCAAAGCTTGATGTTCGAGCAAAGCCCGTCGGTTTGTTCCATCATCACCACAGCCCAATCCTCCAAGCCGACCAACTTGCCCGACTGAATAGGTCCAGCTGATCGGCACTGCGCCGTCTTCTGAGATCAGCCCAATGTTGATATTTCTCTGATCTACAACGTGTGGATATAGGTGCGCATGTGATGGGACATGTTGTATTTGATTCAAACCTGATTGAACGGGGGATGATAATGAGGATATTATTGGTGTCTGTTGCTGTTGATGTGGGTGAGAGTGAGGATGGGCGTACATGGTGTGTGGATATATGTTGGCATGAGCTAAGATTTGACCATTTGTGCCTAAATTAACTCGATATGCATTTGCTAAGTGTTCTGGAAGTAAAAGAGGCTGTCTTAGGGCCGGTCGCAGCCAAGGTGTTAATATCAGGTGGCCTGGCAGTTGGTCAGCACTATCTAATGTCACATCGGAATCCGGTTCCGAGGCACGACTGGACGAAAATTCCAACATCTGATCTGTTGTATGCTCTTCCTGTCCAGAGGAGTCCATTCTAGCAGTTGGTTGGCCTAATCCTATTGGCCTAGCTTCAGCGCTATTATCATTCCTGACATCAGGTGTCACCACAATTGAAAGGCTGCCACTGATGCTGCTTCCGCTGGCCGGTTGATCTTTCGGTTGAAAATGTTCCGTTGTGGGTGACAAGATGGAGAACTCATTTGTGGCGATGCGCATTTCTTCGGCTTGGTCTAACTCCTTTTTATCAACTGCCATCACAGGTGAAGTTACTGAGCAAGCTGCCTTCTGGCCGGGTTGTGATTCGATCTGATTTTTACTACGGTTGCTACCCCCATCTTCGTTCTTATCATTAGTGTCAAGTTGGTTGCTTATGTTATTATTATTGGTGTTCTCGCAAATTTCGTTCGCCTCTACCTCTATTTTCCTTAAATTACATTCTGGCTTTTCAGTAGCATCAACGGTCTTCACATTTGCATTCCTGATATTTTTAGCATTATACTCACGGAGTCTTGCATCATACGTATGGCTCAATGAAGTAGACTCAGTAAAGCCAGTTATGCTTGTACGATTATTTTGAGCTTGATTTATGTTTTGCTTCTTATTTAGCCCCATCAGACTGGTAGTCTGGTGAATAGGCTCAAAATCTTTACGTATGCTTTCGATTGCATATTTTATAGGTGCCTGTCTTCTGAGGGTTTTGTGTTTTGAACCACCAATATTAAGATCCATACGTTGACGAGGCTTGTCCCTGATTTTATCCTTGTATTTAACTCTGCTTGCCTGACTTACGTGATTTTCTCTCATGTCTTGCAACCGAGCCGAAGTTTCTATGAAAAGTTGGGTTGAACTGCAGTATTTATTTGTTCCATTTTGCGTCCTTTGCTTCGCACGACAGCGGGATTCTTCAAGCCGGTCAAGATGGATGCTTGAACTAAGCCCATTATTTCTGTATCTATTTTCAGGAAAATCAGATCCAGCAAATGTAACACGAAATATTCGGTCTATCAAAGAATAAGAAGGCTTTTTTCTGGCCGGATTTGATTTCTGTCGACTTTCTTTCCTCATCGAGCGTCGTAAGGGCTGTTCATTATGACAACTGCCATTGCTCTTGTCACGAACAGCCCTGCAGGGAATCTGGGATGAATTCCAAATGCTGCGAGAAGGAACAATAGAAAATTCTTTTGAGCGTGCCTTACGCCGCCCTAGCTGGGGATTGTATTCTGGTTCGAGACCCTGATCTTGTATGGACAAAGTAGTTGAGGAGTTGGCAGATGATAATGGTTTAAACTCATAAGCCTCTTGCAACGCAAAGAATGGCTGTGTAGGGGTAGAATGTGATGCATCCATAGTTTCTGGTATATCTCCTAGTTTCTCGTTTACCCTAGGCAGATAATTTTGAATGTTGGAAGGAAACGACAACCCTTCACCTTCAGAGAAATGGCATTTATTTAAATTTATCGAGGAGTTTATTGCAATCGAAGTGTGAAGGCTATCATTGCAATTCATCTTGCTTTGCTCCGTTCGTACAGAGACTGTCTTGACAGCCGGCGATATTCTTGGCTCAATAAACGCCTCTTTACAGACGGATAACTCCATCATTTCACAATTTTCGGTATATTTTCCTTTCCTCTCAGCACAGTTAAAATCCAAAACATCCGGTTGGAGGCTGATGGAATTCTGTCCAGAAGGTGGTGTTTGCTGCATAACTGCTGGAGGCAAAGAGACTGAGTTACTGATGGAAATGGATGATTCAGAAAGAAGAATACAGTATGAACGGTTCTCAGATGGGCTCTGACATGCTTGCTCGAAAAGATCCCTCTCAACAACTTCCATCCTGACCCCCATTTCTTTTGAAACCTCACGTAGTTCAGAATGAGGTTTCGATGGTGCTTGAGCTTGCAGATCCTGTTTTTCGGGTCTAAATCGTCTGATC